GGACTCAGACGACGCCTCGGAGACGCCAAACGAGCATGGGTCGAAGAACTCCACAGCGTCCTCTGGGCATACCGTACTACTCCTCACTCAACTACAGGGGAGACCCCATTTCGCCTCACGTACGGAACCGAGGCCGTAATACCGGTCGAAATCCGCGAACCGTCCAGACGAACGGAAGCTCCCCTAGACACCGACGACAACGACGGCTCCCTCCGAGAAGAGCTCGACCTCGTCGAAGAAATCCGCGCAGGAGCAGCCCTCCGGGAAGCCCGGCTGAAGCAACAAGTAGCACTTCGCCATAACCACAAAGTCATAAAACGCGATTTTCAAACTGGAGACTTAGTTCTACGCAGAAATCAAAAGGACTCCCACGAGGGCAAACTGGCGGCGAACTGGGAAGGCCCATACCGAGTCCGGGACAAAACGGAACACGGGGCCTATTACCTCGAAAACCTGCACGGTGAACAACTAGCTCGACCATGGAACGCCGCGAAGCTTAAGCGGTACTACAGTTAACACATTGCCCGCGACGACCAATCGTCCCGGCCACTGGGGGGGCGACATGGTACCACCGCACACCCCCGCGTCCACCAACGACCAAAGAAAGCAAGCCCTGCCTCTCGTGTGCGCGGGCAGAAGGCCTTGCTCGGCAGGGAATACCTCGACCGAGGCCCCTCGCCGCCGTACCAAAACAGGCAGGACACCCAGCTCGCGATGGGCCGTCCACGCCCCGGGGAAAACTACCCCCGAAAAGGCCCGGCTACATCCCCGGCCAAACCGGCCAGTCCCCTACACTACCGGCAACAAATTGTCGAGCTAAACACACCGAGCGAACACTTAGAAAATCTACAAGAAATGTCATACACATCAAAGGCATTCGAACAAATACGAAAAACGAGCATAAAACAACATGCAAACAACGAGCGCACACTTAGAAAATCCATGATAAATATATTTAACAAAAGCGGGCACCAGCCCAGTAGTCAATAGTACAAAAACGAGCACGCAGGCCCAAAGCAAAAGATAAACACCGGCACGCAGGCCACAAAACAACGAGCACGCAGGCCCGGCAACCTACACTTCCTCATCAGCTCGGTCAGCAGCCACGATTTCCTCGTCGGGGATAACGAAATAAGGATCGATCACCCTTCCATCAACGATCTCGTGGTACGGCCCTATCCCGTCCACGACCAGCTCGACACCAGGGTTGGCGACCTGAATCTGCTCGACCGCATTCTTGAACCCGACCTCAACGGCTTCCAGACAATCGCTCTCCAACACCCGGATACGGGCGATCAAGTCAGCACGGGTGATTAAACGCCGATCCCCCTCAGTCTCGTCCTCGGCCGGACGAACAGCGCTGTCCAGAACCTCAGTACGAACCTTCAGCGCCTGCACCTCGGCCGTCGCCGTCCCCAGCTCCTCTTCCAGCGAACTCACCTTCCCCTCAGCACCCTCTGCTCGTTTCCGCTCCTCAGCAACGTCCTTCTGGCTCTTCTCCAACTCCTCGGTGAGCTTGGCCAACCGCGACTGCGTAAAGGTGAGATCCCCTTGCAGTTTGGACAGCTCAGCAGCAGAGCAGCCCTCCTCGTTCAGCACGAGAGCCGTCGTAAACGTCCGCATCATCGCGGCCAAGTCCTCAGCCAGGACACGCCGACGGGCCTCCCGATCAGCCAGGCGAACAGCCTTCACCTCCCCGGCGGAAACGGTGGGGGAACGGGCACCATGAAAATACCCCGGGTGCTGGTGGCAGGGAGGGACGACATAACCTTCCTCGACGGCGCCGACCGTCAGATCCACCACCCGAGGCTCCTCGGACCTCTGCCTCTTCGACACTCCTTGGGACACAGGGGATTGGCTCTCTTGAGGCGACGAGGACGAAGTTTGGCCCCCCTGCGTCGCGACCTCCTGACTGACCAGCTGACTCACCCTCGTCCTCGGGACCCCGGCACTCCTGGCAGCACGCAACTGCTTCACCCGCTCGTCGACAGTAGACATGTTCGCTGCAAAAACAAAGAAATAGGTTAGCGACGATCAAAAACCCCGACAACGAGGGAAAACGAAACATCCCTACCTAGATAATCTAGAGCGGCCGCCCCGGTCGCACAGCCGAGCAAAGTCTTAGTATTTATCAAACGCTTTTTAGTGCGTACGTTCCCCTGGGCATCGAGGATGTACCGACCGTCGGGCGTCACCAGCTTCGACGGGGGAAGTGACCGCACAAAGGCAATTATTTTCAGATAAGCGGCCATGTCCTTCTCCTCGAGGGTTCCCGCCCGGACGATATACCTATCCGTCCCTCGACTGAAATGCTCCGAGGTCCACAGCAGATGTATCTTGGGAAGCCACGCTCGGAACCACTGGCCATCTACCGTGCGCTCGCCCTCGTCAAAGAGAGTGTCCGAGCCGTGCTGCGTGATCGGCTTGACGAGGTAGAACCGACCCTTGAAGTCTTTGACAGAATCACTGTACGCTTTAAAAATTTTGGTCGATTGTTTGAAAGAGACCCATCCGTGACGACCTCGCACCGTCTGCCGCTGCAAATGAAAGATGCGAAAGAACAACGGCACCGTCGGCTCCACCGAGAGGTAGAAACACACCACCTCGAAAGCCCGGATGAAAGCCAGAGCGTTCGGGTGCAGCTGAGACGGGGCAAGACGCAGCCAGTCAAATATCCCCAGATGGAAGGCAGAGAACGGCAACCGGAGCCGAGCTTCTTTAAAATAAAATTCATACATCGGGAACATCTTCCGCCCATAGCGCGAACAGATCCGATGGTGCGCTTTCGGGCGATACACCTGCCAGTGTTGCGTTTCTCCTAGCGGCGTGTCCTCGACCGTGGCGTACACGTCGGACGGGTCGACCACAAAACAAGAAGGGATGGTAAGTGGCTCCTCGGCCGCCCACTCCTCGGGCAAGGAGACGCGCCCGTCGTCATACTCCGGGACCTCGGGTTCATCATCTTCAACCATTATCCCCGGCACCAGAGCCGACATCTACACCTGAAAGCAGAGGACCTCGGTGAATTCGATAGCCAGGATCAAATCCACCCTTCCACCGCAAGTCAAGTGAAAGGGCGACAAAGGCCGAGGGGCGGCGGGCAGACATTCGCTCCCCGCCTACCCTCCTCGGGGATCGAAGAACGACCCCTCAGCCCTTCGGGGCGGCCGTCGGAGAAGATACTTCTCCCCGGGGCAGTCATCAGAGAAAGCCCCCGTCCTCGGGGCATTCATCGAAGAAAAACCCCCGTCCTCGGGGCATTCATCAGAAAAAGCCCCCGTCCTCGGGGCATTCATCGGAGAAAAGCCCCCGTCCTCGGGGCATTCATCAGAAAAAGCTCCTGTCCCCGGGGCATTCATCGGAACTAGCCTACCGTCCCCGGGACATTCATCGGAAAACTCGCCAGACGCGGCGGAACTCGCATCCCTCCTCGGGGCGCTCATCGCGCCCCGACCACACGTCCCAGTCAGACGACGAAAATAAAAGAGAGGGAGAAGAGGAACTCACTTGTAACGGCGGCGGACGGAAGAAAAAGCGAATGGCACGGCGTTGATCGGCGGCGAACGGCGGACGGGCAGAGACGACGAAAGATCAACAGGGAGAAAAATAGCAGAATGAGCGGGGACCGCCATATTTATAACCCGGCGCGAGGCTCGAAGCGACCCTAGGCTCATTAATGACATAGGTTAGCCGCCCCTACGACCGCTCAACGCAAGACACGTGGAAGCAGCCTGACAGTCGCGTCTCTCCATCTGCCTCCTCCCCGTTCTACCGACGACCGGAGCCCTTCGCACGAGTCCCCCGCTCCAGACATGACGACCTTAAGTCCTCGCTCTTCCCCAGAGCTTCGACTTGGGGGGCTCCTGTTCCGGTGTGGGCCTCACCTCGGCAGGCCCAATACCAAATACGGCCCAACAGGCGAACTGGGCACACCTGGCACACGCCCCTTCGGACGAGCAGGACCGTCCGCCGGGCACAAGCCATCACGCCGCATCCCCTTCGTCGTCCGTCACACCAGACGAGCGAGACTACCCGGGCTCCCTCCGCGGGAGAATAACGTGCTCGGCGCACGTTGTCCATGCGCTTCCCTCCGCGGGAGAATAACGTGCTCGGCGCACGTTCTCCACGTGCTCCCCTCCGCGGGGACACGTCATCGGCCAACCGCCCACCTCCGAAAGAGCAGGTCAAACCCACTTTCCGGAGACCTAGGAGCGGTTGAACTAGGGCGAAGACCACGTCCTGGTCTTCACTACGCCACGTAAGCCCTAACAGTCATTAGGGTTGGGCCTGGTCGTCTGGCCCACCTCGAATGACCGTTGGCCCAGCGCTGGGGTCTCTCTATAAATACCCTCTTCTTCAAGAGGGTCAGGTAACTCTTCTTGCCCCCTTTTCTGTACTATTGCTTCCTCTCTGTCCAACTTCTTACTTGGGCGTCGGAGTGCTTTGCAGGTACACCCCCTCCTCGTTCTTACCTCGGCGAACAGATAACCGTCCGGCGAAGCGTGGCCAGTCCGTGATCCCTCCTGATCAGGTCAGATCAGTTTATAATTAGTGGAACTTTAGGTGATAATAAAGCTAGACACAAACCAACAACGTTGTTTTATATATTTTTTTAGTGGATAAAGATAGACAAACATGTCTTCTTTAGCCAAATACTATGTAGTTGATTCTTTTCACCTTTTGAGATTGGGTCCTTATATTGTTTGTTTTTTTGTTTGCCCAATTAATATATGACTTGAAAATATCAAACTTGATTTGAAAATCTTGGGCCCATGTGAGTTAATGGTTCAAGATATGTTCGCGTATAATAATGCACGTGCATGTCTGTTTTTAAGGGTGTGCAAGACTGACTACATGTTACAGCACATGATTTAAATTTTGTCATGATTAAATGATGACTAAATAGAGTCGCGGCTTGATAAGATCTCTATTTATTTTGTCAGAGTTGAACTGTGTTTAATCTACATGGGACCTTTAATAACTTAATTTATGTGATATAGGAAAATGGAGAGGAAAGCTTTGAGGAGTTGCAGCAGTTGTTTAGTGATATGTTTCAAGCAGATATTGGATTAGATGGAAGCAATTCTATGAAAGCTTCCACTTCATCTACTTTCATGACTTATAATGAAAGTTCGAATTCTAATAAACGCAATTCCAACCAGATGAATTATGGAATGGCAGGCAATTCCAACCAGATGAATTATGGAATGGCGGGGGATTCGTCTATCTTCGATGCTAATTATCAGAACTTCTGTTTTGGGGTCAGTTATATTCTAACATTATTTCTAGTTTTTTGAATTCATTTAGTACATTACATCCATGGCATTTATGATGATCATGTGTTGCATGTATTTTGAGGGATTGTTGATTGTGGGGTATTTTCCTTGTTTGTTCTTTGTTGGATAAAATAAAAAATTACTATGAAAATAAAAAGGGTAGGTTTAACTTTTAGTTGTGTTGTGGGGTTTACTTTGAAGTGGATAAGATTTTTGAGGTTGTGGGAATGATCTATAGATTTGGAGTTTGGATCATGTGTCATAAGTGTTGGGTTATGTGGGAACTCTATGGGCCATCATATATTGAATTTTGAACAATACAACAATGATTTCAACATTAGATCTTAAAACATAGTTTAAGGCATGATTTGTACATTAGATCTTAAAACATAGTTTAAGGCGGATTCTCTCACTTATATATTCCATAGTAACGTATATCTATACTGGTACAACGATTACATAATTGTTGGTTGGATTCAAGTGATAAATTCAACTGTACTTGGATCTAACAACTTTTGTCGAGTGGTTGTATTCGGGTGATAGATTCATATGTACTTGGATCTAACAATGTTTGTCTCGTTGTAGAAGGTTTGCTTAAAGCACAATTTTAGAGGGTTTGCTTAAAGCACGATTTTTTTATGGTTCGTAATCTTTTAATTAGAGGTATCTTTTCTTTTGTTCTTGTAATCAAGGTCAATTTTGTAAATTATCATTACCAATGAATGGGATGCAAAACAATGGAGTATGTGTGAAGTGTATTAAAATGGTAAGTGATTCTCCCTAGCTAATCATCTCCTTACAAAAATGTCATGCATGTCAAACTCTTTGGCTTGTCAAGTGCTTTTATAAAACCTTAATTATCATCTCCATTTAGGGAGAGATCTAGGTACAACACATTTGGCGCATTTGACCTACTAAAATTTCTCTTTTACCGATACGATTTTTATTTCCACATTATGAAATTTACGCATCTCCATATTATGAAATTTCTAAACTTGTCATATAGTATACACTACATGATATATTTCACGTATTAAACTAATAGTCTGGTCGACTATATTTTGTTTAATATTGATTCAATATTTTGTTTATTCTTTATGTGAAGACAGGTGAAACGCCGTCAAAGAGATGTGGCGGAGAAGGAAAAAGGGGGAATTCGAGAAGGCGGAGGTAGCAATAGACAAAGAAAAGACAGAAAACAAAACATCTCATATGGTCATGATGTTTCATCTAATGACAATCATGGAATTTCTGCAAACTAGTGTACAACCTTAGTATTTTGGTCTTGAGACTTTCACAATCTTGACTTGCTACAACTAAAAAGATTAAGGAGCAAGAACATATAGTTTATGTTAGTACTATGAAGTCCTAGGGAGGGAGATCACAAATGACACCCTTTAAGCCAGCCGTTGGACACTTATGCTAAGAGTTTGAGTTGAAATTTAATTTACAAGTCATTTTGGTATTTTTCATTTATGCATATTTGTACCATTTCATTTCAAGATATTTAAATCAAAAGTGTAATTTGTTTGGCATTTGTTACATTATGATACAAATCTTAATGTCATGTTTTGCCTTGAAATTAATCTTCTCTTGTTTGTAAAAATAAAAATAGATTTTTCTTTAAAATAATAAAAGTATAAATGAAAAAAAACTACAAGCTCAAATGCTATTTAAAGTAGTTTTTGAGTTTGTAGTTTTTAGCCTTTCAATTTTTTTTTCCATTTATATCTTTATTATAAATGTCAAGTAGAGCTTTTTTTGTGAACATAAGTTGTAAGGCTAAAAATTAAAAAGCTAAAAGTTTTTTTTTAGGTGTTATAAAACAGAATCTATAGTTATGAGAAAGATTAATTTCGTGTAATTATAAAAATGCTATTAGTCTCCAGGTCTTATTTGTTAATTTTAATTTTCGCTTTAATCCCTTAATAAAAAATATTACAGTTTAGTTTCGTAATATTAGTTTCGTTAGTTATATTGGTCCCTGGCGTTAGTTTAGATGAGAAAACGTTAGTATCTGTCAACGTGGCGTGTCAACTGCGTAATGATTAACAAAAGAATAACAAAAATCATTATTTAAGGGCATCAATTGTATCAAACATGTATATTATTTCTTTCTTGAGCTTCAAACGTGATTCTAAAAACTTATTTATGTGCATTAGATTTAAGTTGTGTTAAAAGCAAGGTTGTGTTGTCTGCGTTTATCTTGTCTGCGTTAAAAGCAAGGTTGTGTTGAACTTTCATTTCATCTTGTATCCGTTTCTAGGGTTTTAAACTTTATCTTGCAATGTGGTCATCTAACAGCTTGAGAAATTTTTGAGAATGGGCTTCGAATAGAAACTTATGATTGGGGTAGACGTGAGCATTGGGGGCAGGGGCATTCCTTGAAGTGGAACCACGAACAACTCTTGCTCTTTTGGATGGTGTCATGATACCTACAAAAAATTAATACAGACAGTGAAAAAGAAGAAATTTTCCAAAGAATGTATCAGAGAGTAAGGAAAGAAGAAAAAAGTTGTGAGGGAAAAGGAATGAACAACAACCTTTTTATAGTCTTCGCGACTGTTGCTCACGTGCGCATTATAAATGCATCCAACGTGTGATGGAATTGTTATGTCCAACGTCTCTTTATAACAGTCATATTGCGCGTTGTCATACCCCAAATTCTGCCCCCTATATTGCATCATCATTCTAGGTTCATCAAGCATGTGTTATATAACCTTAACCTTTTTTCAAATTGATCTTTGTCAAGATGCAGATGAATTAGGCTTTTACATTGTCAAAATCAAGGATCTTGTGGATTGATCAGTCAAGGTTTTGGATTGATCTTCTACAAATCAAGTCTTCACGTAATCAAGAGACTCACATCTTGCCAAGAACAAATATTATTGGAGGTTGTTACCAAAAGAATAGGAGCAGTGCAGTACAGCACCCTGATTAGGGTTTTTAGTGAAAAAAGTCAATTGAAGTTTGACTTTTGGCTTAGATGGTTTTCCAAAGTTTGAATCGTGATCCATGGCAATCCTATGACTTATATAAGTCTTCCCATGAAGTTTTAAAGGCTCAAAGAACCCAAAACACTGAGGATCGATCCTGAAGATTTCAACCGTTCGGTTCGTTTGTCTGGAAAGTCAACTCTTTGACTTTTAGGGTTTTGACCCCAAATTGAAGCAAGAAAGTCTTTCAACATTATTTTGTGCCTAACTAGTATGTTTTGTGGAGATTCAATAAAAAATTGATGGATAACTTACAAATCAAGAAACTAGGGATCATGAAAAACCCTAATTTTAGGCCAATTTGAAATGATGATAATTTCCTAACCATACATCCAAACAGAGTGGTCCAAAGCTTGATTGAAATCTCTTGAGGAGCCTTACAAAAGTTTCCTATGGGGTTGAGGTCCAAAGATACATAGATTTTGAGTTATAAGCTCATTAAGTTGTGAAGAATTTCAACACTTAAAAAATTTCCATGTTTCTTGGCTTGTAAGTCAACTTTTGCAACAACCTTCAAGAATTTTTTTGACATAGTTTCCTTTGGAATTTGAACTTGTGTAAAACATGAATGTTGTAGATCATGTTTTGGGATTTTTTTTAAAAAGTACAAGAGCATTTTCTCAACCTTTGTGGTTAGGGAGAATCGAAGAAGGCAAGTTGAGCATTTTCCATGTCATGAAACCAAGTTCAGCATTGACATTTTCTTGAATAAACTCTTCAAACCTATTCTAATCCTTTGCTTAAATCATTATTTAATTCTTATGGACCTAATTGAGGAGGTTAGAGTGCATAGCCACGAGCAAAACTCAGATTTTGGATTAAATTGATTTGTTTAATACAAGTGGATGCAAGTGGCATGAGAGAGAAACATTTTCTTGCAAGTTCTGTCACATCTCAGCAACCACATCAGCTTCTCCCCCCCTTTCACTTCAATACCACTATTTGCAGGTAATAGGTGATGATCAAACTCATAGAGAGGTGGCTAAATTTCAGAAGAAAAATATCAAGTTAATCTTGCACATTTTGCTTCCAAAAAGGGCAAAGTTGGCAAGATGAGTCACCCATACCACTTGATTTCCAAGCTTTCCTATAAATAGAGAATTTTCCTCACATCCAAACTACACCATATTTAGCTAGAAACCAAGCTAAATCTCTCCCATTCCACAGATCACAACCTTCTTGCAAGCATTGAAGTTAACTTCCTCGTGAAGCAAAACCTGTTTTGCACAAACCCTGTCAAAACCTCATACACTCATCAAAAACCTTTACCAACACTTCAAACACATCACATATGATTTATTTAAGGTGTTCAAACACTCACTTCCACCAGAAAAATTCTCACTCAAAAAGTCAAACCTCAATCCAAGAAAACTTTGACTTTCTGCATTTTCAAAGCCAATGCTTCATTCTGACCATTTCTAAACCCTCAAGTACTTCAAACACCTTACATAAACCATACCTAAACTGTTCCAAGACATGTTTTCCACTTGTAACTTCATTTCCTTGAAGTTCCACATTGACCACTTTGCCATTTTGTAAGAGGAATGGAAGATTCTGCTCCAATTGCTTCCACTTGATTCCAAGCATCCAAAGAGGTTCCTAGAGGTACATTGAAGCTGTTCAAACCAATAAATCACTTTTGGAGGCAACTCTCTTAAAAATCCCAAGTTTGGCTTCAAGAGGTAAGCCCCCATAAACTTGAACTTTGTAATCATGATATGCTTTGATGTGTAATGACTGTACACATGTTTGACATGATGTTTGTGATATGTATGAACCATTTATTGCTACTTATCATGTTTGAATAAGGTTGTGGCATTGAAAATGCAAAGTTGATTCCTTTTTTATGTTGCTATCGAGTTTTAAATTAGAGACACTTTCAGCAAAAACCAATGATACCATCATGATCCTTGTGAAATAATGAGTAAGTTTGGTCTTTGAATCATTGTAATTCATGAAGAATTGAATGAGATATGATCCCTCTTGCTTCTGGTCCAACTTGAGGTTATGACCAGCCATGATGCGCATTTGGGAAGGCCTCAGGTCACGTTTTTCCTTATTTATTTATGAATGGGGGTGATACATAAATGTATCACCACCCCAATGGTTTACCATGCGCTTTCATGTATCTTTGCCTTGCCCGTCCTAGGTTCGATCCTGCGGATCAACCTTTTTATTGCATTTTATGATTTTTTGAAGATTCACTATGTATTGTGCTCGTTTCACTCTTACTTCACATGCACGTGTTAGCTGAGATGGTTAGGTTTTGACTAGTGAACCCTAGGGAGTGGGTTCAAACCCTATAGAGAGCACTTCTCATATTTTTTGTCACTAATTTTCATAATTTTCTTTGTAAATTGATCTATGTATAACTTCTTTGATTTTTATCATTTTTATGCCATTATTTTTGCATAATGCTCTTTGATATGTCTAGTTTCAATATGTGAAGAAAGAATTCAAAAATTTTTATTTTTGAAACACTTTGATTCACTTGAAAGACATGACCTTTTTTAGGGCTTTTACTTGTTTTCATGAGTTTCCTTGACTTAATATTTGATTTCTCTTGCATGTTTGACTTGTATGAATCATTTTTGAATGTTTAACATGTTTGTGTGTTTGAAAACATTTGGTTCTTTTCTTTACCATGCTTATTCATGCCCTTTGTAAATGTATGAACATGAAAATCATGCCTTGAATCTTTTTGTTGAGTTGTGCATGATTCTTGATGTTGTAACCTCTTGATCATGTTCCCTTAACCTCATATTACTTGTCTATGTGTCTTGTTAGAACCATAGCATGATTAGGGTTTGACTCCTACCTTTGTAAAATGCATGAATATGAATATATGACTTGATACTTCTCTGTGAATCCTTGTGTGTTTCTTGATGTTGTAACCTCTTGAGCATGAACCCTATCTTGCTTGTTTATGTGTCTTGTTAGAACCATAACATGTTTAGGTTTCATTCTTACCTTGGTTGTTACCATGAATCTTGTACATCTTGAATTCATGCTTGAACTGTTGTCACTCTTCTTGCTTATCCATGATTGATTGTCATCAATATATCCTGAAAATAATTGAATTTTGTTACATTTATCTTTGTTTGATTCATATGCCAAGTTGTAACTTGTATGAATGAGTTTTGTTTATTTAGCATTGATGAACTTGTTGTTGTCACACATGTTTCATGTTTGCTTTTGTTAGTAGTTACCTTCATAATCTTTGAATTTTGCCATGATAAGTAATGTCTTGACTTATGCTTGATGCT